CGGCCGTGAACTGGATGTGAATAAAAAGTGGATCCACGCAAACTTCACGTCAACTTCATTTAGTAAATTCCACGGCCGTGAACTGGAAGTGAATCAATCGTGGATCCAGGCGAAGTTCACATAATTTCACATCAGCGTCATTTAATAAATTCCACGGCCCTGAACTGAATGTGAATCAATTGTGAATTCACGCGAAGTTCACATTAACTTCATTTCGTAAATTCCACGACCTGAACTGAATGTGAATAAATCGTGGATCCATGCGCGCTTCAGTTGGGTTCACATTCGCGTCATTTAGTTAAATCCACGGCTGTGAACTCCATATGAACCCCTTCTGAATTCACGCGGACTTCACATGGACTCACATTTGCATCATTTGGTAAAATTCACGGCTGTGAACCGAATGCCCAGACCGCAAAATCACATTCCCTGCACATGTCAGGAATATTCCCAGGAATATTCCTGGCATAATCAAATGTCCGCTTTTTTGTTAACCCAGGCATCATAAAAAGAATATTCCATATATCTGCCTGCAGAAGACTCAAGGATTGTTAGGGGAATATTCCTTGATATAATTTGGGGATTATTCACAGCCCTTATTGCCTCTTATACCCAGGAACTTAACTATAGCCATTATTGAGTTACTGAGTAGATCAGTCCCACTCTAATCATTGTTTGGCTGTGCCATCACAGACGCACATCTCCAACTGATATTATTAACCTATCGGTATATATATAGTTATCAAGCGTGCGTAAGCAACGGTGAGAGGTATTGCAACTAAACCAATGAATATTCACTGGGAATGTTCTTAGATGATGCTTGGAAGTTTTAGAGGATCATTCTAGGAATATTCCCAATGAATATTCCTAGAATGAAGAGGATTATTCCTAGGTGATAGGGAATATTCCTGGAATATTTTCGAACCTTCATTGCAGTCTGGGTGTGAATCAGTTGTGGATTCACGAATGTTGACTGGGTTTAAATTTAAAATTTTACGTTTTTTGCATTTTTCAGCTAAACTATTGAAGTTAGACGAAAAAGTCAAATGGCAATTTTTTAGCTTGTCTGATGGACCACAAAACAGTTTTAGGCGAATTTTTTATATCGACAATATTCTAAAAGTTACAGGCGTATAAAGTCATCATTTTTGTATTATTAACTTTAAATTTAAAGCTATGTAAAAAATTAAATAATGAAAATAGAAATTCGGCTTAATAAGATTTTTTTGTCCAAATTTAATGCTTTGTAAGAATTAGTCATGGATTTTATGAAAAAAAAAAATCTTCCTAGGTTGCAAGAATAAATAAGGTAAAAAAGTCAGTTTTCTGTGTTATTTAAGCGGCAAAACTTCAGATTCGATGAGGGACCTCTTAAAATTGAAATTATGAGCTCCGCTTTTAACAGAATATTTGTTCGGGCATATTCTACGATATTTTGGGTGAAGAGCAAGAAAAAAAAAATATCGAGTTTTTTTGGCACACCCTAATATATATATATACCCAGCTAGCACAAGTCTGTCCTAAGGACATCCTAAGGAAAGCCTTACAGGATATTGGGATATCCCAAGGATATCCTAGGACGTCCTCAGACCTCCTCAGGACATCCCAACCATGGCCGAGTGGTGCAAAAAAGGCCAGCCTACAGACGTCCCGCAAATGGCCTTTAGGATATCCTAGGGATATCCCTAGGTCCATATAGGTCCAGGAATGGGATGTCCTGAGGACATCCTCTGAATGGCCTTGTTATTTGTTGGGGATACATTTTAAACAATCAAATACCATTTTATTACTTTATAAAATATATTATTTTAATTCTGTATACATGTATATAATTTTACATAGCCAATTATATAAAATAAAAAATAAACACCTATTATAAAAGTAAAATAAATAATAATTCTAAATAAATATAATAGTTATATTATTTATATATACACAGTGTCCAAAGTTATCTGCTCACCATTTTAACTCCATTATTATTGCAGCTACAAAGTCAGTTAAATTAGCAAATTATTGGCATTTTTTCTTCTGATTAAAATGGATAAGATAGAATAACAATTGAACATTAGGTTTCTGAAGTAATTACAAAAATAACATTTTATTAAATAAAAAGACAACTTAATATGGAACAAAAAATTATTATTGCATAACTACCCTAAACTTAAAAATAAACAATTAATAAGCACTGGAACTTTCTGATTGTTGTTGAAATATCCAACACTATAATAATATTATATTATAACAAACACACGAGATTCACGGCCTTAAACCAGGTTCACGACACAGAATAAGAATTCACGGCACAGACAAAGAATTCCGTTCACAGTGTTATCTATGATTCTTTCTAACAAAAAGACCCCAAACAACTAAAGGACGCTATACGACATGATACTTTGTATCATGGCTATACGACATCTTAGCTTTCTCTCCATCCAGTGATACCACCATAGACAATAGTTATCACCATAACGTATGGCGGCAAATTTAAAACAATCGGTAACACAAACTATTAAATAAGTTATAGATAGCGTTTGTAATTACATTTTTAAGGTTAACTGACGCTTACTACCTTATTTATTATTTATAAAACTCTAAATGTATCAGTACAAACAAGGTGTTTGAACAATTATTAATTACCAGCCGTCATTTCTGCGCATGCGTATTAAGTTGGCTGCTATCCAGTTGTATACAAAATATATTTTGTGGTCATATAACAAATACACAAAATATAATATTGTTTTTAAACTCCCGCCTTTAAAACGCCGATTATCGTACATGTTCCATGATATTTTAAATACACATTGACAAGTTGTGGCTTTATGGCGTTTTAGTCACGGGCTGAAGTTGGCAGCAATGGCATTCGGACTTTTTAGTCATGGGTTGAAGTTAATTGCAGTTGTCAACTGCGAAACAATGACCATCAAAATAAAGGGTCTAAAAAGTGAGGTTAGAATAGACTGATCGATGTCAGATTTTATAAATAATTATTTATATATAATTGTTGAAAGTTATTTAATTTTTGTGATTGTCGTAGAATAAATATAGTGTATAAACTTAAAAAAATCTATATAATATAATATTATACCCAAACAGCACACAACATCCTTAAGACGTCTTGTTTATGTCTTAATAAGGTCTGAACGTCTTAAGACCTAAAAACGACGTCTTAAAGACATCCCAAGCAGCATTTTTGGTTCCAAAAACCATTGCCAAAGTGGTGATAACTTTAAATTAGTTAAGTATACTAAACAGCTACTTTAATTTTTACTTAAAAGTAATTCTAACTTTTAAATAGCAATATTTTGTAACAGAAACTTAATTTTTCCTTAAATTGTTACTATAAAGTAATAAACATTTAAGTAAAACTTGGTTGCCCCCAAGAAGACTTTGCAACTTTAAAAAAGATGTTATAAGTAAAAAAAACTTTCAAGTAAATTTAATTTGTAGCAGTTACTTTCGGTTGCTACCTAAAGATTACATTATAATTATTTTTACTTTGTAGTCCCTTTGCAAGTTAAAATCTCGAAACTGGAACATGAGTTAAAAACTACAAAGTTAATAACTTAAAAGTTATTATTTTAGTATTTGGAACGTTTATGGTACTAACCAAAACAACCGTAAAGTGGAAAAAAACTTTAAAGTAGCGAAAACTACTTCAAAGGAAAATGCTTCTTATCGGCCATTTTTTACTGTACAGTACCACGTGGTAATGTAAATAATAAATTATTTTAATTGTTTGTAAATGGTTGTTTAATTTTTAATAAATAGAAATATTGTTGGTAATAGACGGTATTAATAATTAAATAAAAAAAAATAATAATAAATATTAAGATTTTTTTATTTATAAACATTACTAAATAAATAATTTGTTTATACTTAAATATTGATGAAGCGCATTTATTTTACAAAAACTAAATTCATAAGTTCAACAGTAAAATTTAAAGGGTTTATAAATCTACCTGTCTAATTAAACATTATATTGTTATTCTGGAAGTTATAAACTACCAGTAGGGTAAGGTGGGGTAGGTTCGGACATGGGGCACCTCCGGACAAATCAAATTTACCGCCTTAAAGTGCTACGAGAGTTTCCATATTGACAGTAAATATCCTTCTACACTAATAGTTCTGTGGTCCGTACATGTTTAGCAACTTTGATCACTCGACAACTATTTATTTGAGAAAATATAAAAACATAGTTATTCTTATAAATTTTATTAGGGCTATCGTAAGCTTTATTGGCTTGAGAACACCAGTAAGGTAAGTTTTATACCTTTTACCGCAGATATTAATATCTTTGGCGATACATAACCTCATAAAACAGCATCAGTTAACCATGTGCCTATTTTTATTTTGATATCTATGTATTTCTGGAACATGGGGCACGTTCGGACAAATCGGGTGGGGCAGCTTCGGACTGTCCGAATGTGCCCCATTTTACAAATAAAACCTAGTTTTTATTGATTTAACTTTCTGGGATGGTACGTAACTAATTTAAAAAGAAAAAAGGGAAAAGGTAAATCCAGAATTTATACAAGCACACCGGAAAAGGAAAGAATTCAAGAATTGGAAACAATGAGAAAACAAAAGTTGGAGAAAAAAAACACGAAAAGAAAAGCATTACAAAGCGAATGTGAAGTGAAGAAAAATGATACAAAAGTTGGGGAGAAGAGCAAAGGAAAGGCGCCGAAGAAAAAGTTAAAAAAAATAGAAATTTCCATTTTTTTTTAACTTTTTCTTCGGCGCCTTTCCTTTGCTCTTCTCCCCAAATTTTGTATCATTTTTCTTATTCATTCATTCACTTAAGTGACTCCTCGGATTCTGATATAGATTTACCACAGAATATTGTGCATGAGAAAAAAATTTTTGATTCCGATTCTCTGGACGAGTTTCAAGACAATGACAATGTGCTCATGCTATTGCATGATGACGTGATCCATTGTCATGATTATTTGCTTGCCAAATACCCGACCAACAGAAGGATACTTCTTTATATCGGCAAGGTAGAATCTTGCAATAATGAAGGCTCTTACGTCTTAAATTTTTTGAGGAAATATAAAAGCGGTTTCCGCTTTCCGGACTTGCAAGATATTTCGACTGTTTCCAGAGAAGATATAGTTTCGAAAATACCGAAGCAGCACCAGATGCAGCACCAGGAACTTCAAGGATGTGTTCGCTCTTTAAATTTAATGTCAATTTTGATGGTTATAATGTTTAATAAACTTTTTCTAATATAGTCTCTTATTCATTCTAAAAATAAATAGGTTCTAAATTTTCTCAGGCCTGTCCGAAAGTACCCCACTACTTGTCCGAATGTGCCCCAATATGGGGCAGATTCGGACAAATGCATTTTTTTAAGTAAAATATCACCTAACGAAAACCACTTAATATTTTTTGCTTAAGATAATGCTAAAATGTTGGAAATAGACTAAGCTATCCGTAGTATTTGCATTAAGTCTAAAAAAATTTGTTATCTTTGAAATATTAATTTTTGAAAAAACGTGTCCGAACCTGCCCCACCTTACCCTACATATTTAATAAACGAAGACATTGAAAAGCCAAGTCCGTAGTGGTTCCATTTAAAAAAGGAGGGATAGTATAATCTAATATAAGTTTGACAAAGACAGTTAATATAGAAGTAAAAACAAATAATAAAAGTAATTATAACGCTCTAGCAACGATATTGGAACGTTCTAGTAACGTAGCAGCTACGTCCCAAATAGTAGCAGGGTTGGTAGCTAGTGACATATTTGCTACCTTTTTGGAACTCAATAATTGTTCCCCACTTTAGTCGTAACGTAGTAATGAAAGAGTAATATAAAGAGACCGGCGACTGTCGCAAAACACTTTGAAGTTTCTTCAATAGTCCCATATACGTAACAAATACTTAAATTGTTGCTTGGGATATTTGAGAAGACGTCTTAAAACAAGCAATTTAGTAACGTCTTAAAGACGTCTTTTTAAAGTCTGTTTCGGGATATAAACTATCTAGGATCTACCTGCTGTACTGCAATTTGTACCCGCGGCGTTTACTTTATTAAGATAACCTGTATAAATTAATTAATTACTTTCTTTAACTTTTGAATACATTTAAAGACTTAGTAAGGACGTCTTAAAGGCGTATTTTTGAAGACGTCTTAAAGATATGCAATTTGTGATATCCTAAAGACGTCCATGAAAGCCTAGTTTGGGACATTTTAACCTAACTGCCTATTGAGAAACTCAAAAAAATGTACACCCATACAAAACTATCTGTTTATGTGAAGTGTAAGAATTTGCTCTATATATACTAAATACTTATGTTTAACAGTTTAGATAGGTACTTTTATATCAACAATCTCTCTATTTTAATATTATTTGATACCAATGGTAATTTTAAATTTAGCGCGCTTCTATTATTTCCCTCTTGTGGAATTTGCCTTAAATACAAAACTGGACAACGTTGTCAGATCGACTAATTTTTAGCAGATCTACAACAAATTAAATATAACAACAAAATGTATTCAATTAAATATTAAAACTTACAGCATTTGTAATCAGGGCCTGTATAGGCAATTTTTTGTAGGATTTAATATTAAATCCAAACACGATAGAAATAAAGAAACAAATAAAACATCTGACCAAACCACCATGCGCAATGTGCAAAGAGAACTCCGGCAACGCTGTTGTCAAAGCGGAATTGGCATATGATTAGCCATTTTGTTTGTTTTTTTTACAAACATTTTTGTTAGCTGATACTGCTTGACTTTGCATTTTATTTAAACTTTTTCGGTCTCTAGCTATTTACAAATAAAACTTACTGTGAACTGTGAGAGTGAGTGTGAGTACTATAATAATTATAAAACTTAATTTTATGGCCGTTGTTTGGACCAAACAGTGTCGTGTCTTCAATCTTCAGCAGTGAGAATCCAGTGAAATAGGTAATAAGAAACATGAAGCGTATTCGTTTAAGTAAATATTATTTTTTATAAAATAGCTGTCTATTTAAAAGTTTTAAAACATGTTAAAAAACAAACAAACCGCTGTTGTGTAAATTAATACGTTTTTTTTTTTAGGATCAGTGGAATAATCGGGTCTTGCCAAATTTGATAAAGATACGGAAATTGCTATTCAAGCTTGGCTAAAAAGGGCATCAGATAGAAGAACCCAATTATTAAAGAAGTTTTAAGATTTTTTTTCAAATATTTTGCTATCTGTATGATTTTATGTGGCCAACACTTTGTTTATTTAAAAATAGAAAATAAAAGTTTCAGTGGATTTTGAACGATTTTTTTAATTTTAGCAATATATTTTAGTCCCTTAAAGACGTCTTTACGACGTCCATTAATGGCCGTAAAATGACTTAATAAAGATGTCTTAAAGACGTTGGGTTTTTTAACATTCGACGTCTTAAAGACGTCGTAAAGACGACGTGCGGCGTAAATAAGACGTCTTAAGGATGTCTTGAATAGCGAAGCAAGGCGTCTTTAAGATGTCTTAAAGATGTCTGTGTGCTGTTTGGGTAATTATATTGATGTAAAAAAATGTAGGTATTATTAATTATATGGATAAAATATTCTTATAGAAAAATGTGCATATCAAATGTTTACCAAAACCTAACGGGACATTCTGAGGATGTCTCTGGGATTAGTCCTATGATCAGCCCATTTTAGGCTTTAATTAGGATATTATTAGGTCCTAACGACATCCTTAAATGACGTTCCTAGGATATCCCAAAATGGGACCTTCAAAAGATCTAATGTCCGATAAGGTCAACCTATGGACGTCCTCAGGAAGTCCTTATAGGATCATCCCATTCTGGGACATTTAGGCTGGTCCAAGGACGTCCTGAGGATGTTTGTGCTTGCTGGGATATATATATATATATATATATATATATAAAGTAGTGATCTCCTATTTTGGAATATAACCTTTTTCTACTCCTATTACGGATTATATATACATATATATTATGATCTCCTATTTCGGAATATAACCTTTTTCTACTCCTATTACGGATTATATATACATATATATTATATATATATAATCCGTAATAGGAGTAGAAAAAGGTTATATTCCGAAATAGGAGATCACTACTTTAACAGCAGATTCTACGTACAAAAATAAGAAAAAAATTCTTATATAGGTTGAGAAATGCTTCCCTATTGTAAATGACCAATAGAAACCAATAAAAAATAAGTAATTGGTTTGAATTGGTTTTAAATGGTTTGAAATGTGTTTTGGCGCTATGAATCACCAATTCATTCCAGTTGAATTCCTATTGGTAATTTCCAATGAAGTCAGTGGCTTCAATTGGGAAATACCAATAGAATCAAATAAAAAATAAGCAATTGGTTTGAATTGGTTTGAAGTGGTTTGAAATGTGTTTTGGCGCTATGAATCACCAATTCATTCCAGTTGAATTCCTATTGGTAATTTCCAATGAAGTCAGCGGCTTGAATTGGAAAATACCAATCCATGCCTACGCTTGTCTCTATTGGCTAAATCCAATAGAAATGCACATGGAATGAATTGGTAATTCATAGCACCAAACCCATTCCAACCAATTTAAACCAATTAATTTTTTAAAATTTGGATTAGAAAATACCTACCAGTTTATTTTTCATTCAAAAATAATTTTAGATCCCAGAAGGATAACCGGGTAAAAACCAGAATTCATTTTTTACAGAAGAGACAAAAAATTTATTGTTACTAAGTAATTTTATTTATTTATTATTTTTTTTGTGATATATGTATGTATTAATACATATAACTTACTATCGCCTAAATCCCTACTAACTACTAACACTAGGCACTTAACACTGAAATGTAATGTTACACATATAAACATTTTTTTAATATATAAGTAGACTACTAACACTAGGCACTTAACACTGAAATCGACTAATAAAATAAACCGCTAATAAATGGCGTCCAAAGACGTTTTTTCTTTATGATGGCGTCTCAACCTCGTTGATTTTGCGCAGCTACACGAGAGCCCTCTTGCGATATTTGTATTGTATTGGGAATAACCAATTAGCAGATTTTTCGAATCTTACACTGGGAATGCCCAATTGAATTCAATTGGAAATTACCTATAGGTAGCTTTATCCAATCTAAACCAATAAAAACCATTAGAATCCTAACTGGTATTTTCCATCATGGAAAATACCAGTAAAAACCAATTTCTGTTTTATATCGCGCCCAATTAAATCCAGTAAGTCCAATTCAGACCCATTGATACCAACCAATACTTCAATTGGTTTCTACAGGAATTAATCGGTCATTTACAACAGGGTTCCTAAGGGAGCTATAGCCCCCAAAAGAGGAGCCCTTAAAAATGGTTTTATTTAATATGTACAAAAGTGTTCATGACAGAAACGTGAAATTTTGGGAATTGATCAAACTTTTTATGGCCAATAAGATGTAATAATAACAATTTTAAATTTTCCATGAGGGGTAGGTCAGATACTATCTAAGATAGGGAGTAAGGGTAAAACCTTTGAATAAAAAACCTTTTTATTCAAAGGGTAAAACCACCCAAACTTTTTTGTGTGTGTCTTGTCCAAGGATTTCATGTCAGATTATTTTATTTTTGAGGTTTACACAGCAAACGAAAAATTATAGAAGTGTATAGGATGACTCCGCGTTTGAATATCAAATCTTAAAGTTTTATCATAACTGTATTGAATCGTGCTTTGTTTTTATATTTTTCGGCTCTATACCTATGCACGACTATATTTAAAGTCAAACTCAATGGTGTCTTACAAGATACATTATTTTGATTTTCTATATTCAACAGAGGAGTAGAAACTCGACCCTGTCGAATGGTGCAGTCATATATGTCTCTAGAAATTATTAAAAAAGGGTTCAGTCCAATGGTGCAGCAACTTCGGATTCCTATTCTCCTCAGAGACATAGAAACTCAAGCTTTTCGAATTTTACTGGCAATGATTTTCGTTAATGTCCCCGAGAATTATACAAAAACAGCGCAATGCAATATCGCAACGGTTTCGACTTCTCTTTACTCTACCAAGTTATAGAAACTGGAGTCTCTCTAATACTGTTCTAGTCAATATTTCTGAGAGTATAAAAAGAGGGTGTAATATTGCAAGAAGTTTTGATCTTTTGATGGATGAATTTTCTCATTTCTCCATATGATTTTGTTGAAAATAGTTCCTTTCTTTGGTTCCTTTGTCTGATTTTTATTTACCGTAACAACTCAGGTATGTAAAGCACAGAGGATATGATGTTAAGTATATTTATGTATTATATAAAGTACCTATATTTGTATTAAAAATTTAAGAGGTTATGTTGAAAAATGATCGATATGCTATTAAACTTTAATAATTTAGTAATTAGGTCTGTTGGTAGACCCTGCACTATCTCCACTGGTATATGTTAATTTTGTAATATTTAAATCTGGTTGATGAAAAAGTACACACCAGTGCAGGTTATTGTAGCATCTACGAACAAATGAATTAATGGCCCATTGGCAATTATTCCTTTAGGAAAAATATTCAACACAGCTTAATTAATTAATAAAATGAAAAAAATCACAATCATGTCGTATATAGTTTTTTTTAAGCATAAAATAATTTTTATATTAATACTAGTTCAAAAGTGAAATTACGACCTCTATACTGTGGAGAGTATTGAAACGCTCGACTGACGAATACAACTCTATACCGTAGGGAGATTTAGAAATCGATATTCAAACGTGGCGTCATCCTATACACCTCTATAATTTTCCGTTTGCTGTGTACACACAAAAATTACCTTACATGCCATAAAAATTCATAATAAAATTACAACTAGAGAAAAAGACTCAGCTTGGGCCATGGAACACGGCTGGAAAAATTATTCAAGGCAGGTGACATTTTATGCAATGTAGGAGGGAGTTTGATCAATTCTCAAAATTTCATTCTATCTTGAACGGTTTTGGAGATATTAAATAAAAACCATCATCAGGGGCTCCTATCTCGGAGGCGGTAGCTCCCTTATGATGCATTTCTCAACCTTTGTTTACAGAAACTTTTTTTCCTATTTTTGTAAGTAGAATCTGCTTTTAAGTATTGCACGCTAATTATGGGTTACCCTGTATATTTAAGGTCATTTTATATTAAATTTACAATACAATGCACTTTTTTTCTTACCTATTTATCGAATTTATAACCAAAAAAAAAATAAAAAAATAAATTTTTATTGTTAGGTCACTTAAAAGGTCTACAATTTAATGTTACTTTTAATATTTTAGAATAAACAAAAAATACGAATATTTAAAAACCAATACTGTTTTTAAACTTCAAAAATTTTAACTTTCTACTTTGTATTTAATAAAAAGTTGAAATTTTTCTGTATTTTAAATGTCTTATTTCAATTTTTAAAAGAAAACAACTCTAACAAAGCAATGTGTATAAAATAATTGAAATCACAGGAAAAAAACAATTTTATTTCAAATGTAAAAGTTAATTTATTTTGTATCTCATTCCATGTAATTTTATAATGTTGGTAACCTGAATTCCTAGGAGAAGAAATTGAAAACTCTTAAACCAGAGGATATTACGTATTTAAATAAATTAGAGCACCTATATGTAAATCCATACATTAAAGATTTTTATTTCCTTAAATTAAAACAAAAATAAATAAAAATATTATAAACCTATTTTTTAATAATAAATAGTGAGATTTAAGTTCATTTTATTACTAATATAATTTATGTAAAAATATATTTTAAATATAAAAATATAAATTGTTTTAAAAAAACTTTATTTAATTTCATGTTAAAAACAAATATAAAAAATAAGTAGGTATTCTATTTGGATATTTGTTGTGGTATGAAGCTATAAAAATCTTGCCAATACAAAACATAACTGACAATAAATCTTGTTAATTGGAGTGGATAACTTAAAATTAGTCCTGGTTCATTAGATGTTGCAAGTTGTGTGAGTAAGGATATAGAGGGTGCCACCAGTCAAGCACTTTCACATTGATTACTGGATCCAAGATAACTGTCACATCAGTGCTGCCATCTGTTGTCTTTGTGTAACTCTGGATTCCAGAACTGAACCCCAGTTGCAGTTTGTAATGTAGAAATCCTGAGGAAAGACTAAAATGTACAGATGTCAGTGTAAGTCCCAGAACTGGTTGAACAGGAATGAAATGTTTGCAAGTTATCTGTAAAATTTGACAGTTTTCGTCCTGGTTGGCATAAATATCATCAAGTATTTCCAATAAATCTGGCTGATACATTTCCGAAGTACGTCTGGAATGTAGGGATAATAATGGTTTTTCTTTCATTTTAAAGTAGTAAAACCAATTCTGCTTTTTTTTTTCATGCCACATCAATATACATTCTCTTTTGGTGACTTTATCTGGATGTGAGTCACTAATATTTTTCATTCTGTTTATAAAAGGTATATACATGTAATGTAACGATCGTATTACAGATGTGCGAAGGCTGTATTTTCTAACCAAGCATTCAGGTTGCAATAATTCAGGTAGGTTGGGAACATTTATATAAAATCTCTTATATAAATTGTACCAAAATTTTGCTGTGGACACAACATTGTAGGTACTTTTGCAAATACCTGCAAAACAACCCACATCCTCTGGTCTTATATATTCTGATAATATAAACCAAATATCTATTGGGTATACATTTCCATTAACACAATTTATTTCATTGGTTTGAGATATGGTCTTTTTTCTATGTCTAGTTTCTTTGATTACATATGAAACTGTGCCATCTTCATTTTCTTCTTTGACAAAATCTCCATCGAATTCATCAATTTTTTCATCCCAACTTTTTTCATCTTTGAAATTATTAAGAACTAAAGAAGGATTTGTTTTCTTGGGTCGGTTTTTACAAATTAAAGAGTTTGCAAAATCATTTAGGGTTATATCTAAAATATTTTGTCAAATAAATATGAAAACAGAAAAAAATACATAAATACTTACCTCCTAAATTTTTGCTCTTCTTTGCGGATTTTTTGTTTGGCATATTGTATTCGTTTTATAATAATATGTTAAATCATAGGATTTGGCCATTTTAAAGTTTGAATTATATAAAAATTGAAATAATTTTGTAAAGTGAGACCACCGCTATCGACGGCCATGATGGACTAAATCACAGAACATAAGACTAAATTTTAAGGTTAATTTTAAGGTTAATTTTATCCTTTTTCTATGTTTTACATGACAGCAAAGTTTGCTGAGCAAACGTCAATTCTGTAAATAGTTTGGTGCTGGTTTGGTCGATGTTATAGGAAATATTCATATATGTCGTTTATCAGCATAATCAAATAAAGTATAATAAATAATAAAAATAACATAGTAAATTAAAACAATTATCAATTATTTATTTATAAAAAAACGGATTGCAATTTATAATATAAAATTTTGATAATCGTTCATTGTTTTTCTGTCACCTCATCTTCTTCTTCTCCACTATTCACAGACAGTGTTGCCACTGTTAGTACTTTTGTACTAGATCTACAGTTCATTTTTTTTATCTGGACTCGTGTTTTTTTGTTAGGTTAATGGCTTATGCCAGTTTGACTTAGTATTTTTAGTATTTAAAAATGGTACTTCTGCTAAAGAATTTAATTAAATAATTTGACACTGTCAAATTGACAATAGTATTTATTAATGATAATTTGACTTGTCAATTATAAATAAAAAGATAATTATGCCAAACATAATAGCAACGAATTGAATGTAAAAGCCCTTTTGAGGGCAAAACTTCATTTTGATGAAATTATGCCAAATGCCACATTGGAAGAAAAAGTACATCGCCTTATGGAGTATAAGAGTAACGAATTTGGTTGTATAAATATTACATTACACATTATTTTCACATTATTCACCATTGGACAACATGTACGTTCACAAAAAAATTTAATTTATTTTATATAAATTCTTTTCAAAGCGAAGATAGGAACACAATCCAATGTTGTGTGGATTGTGGATAGGAATACTTTCTCTTCTGGGCCGTAAAGCAACCTATATTTAACTACTATGATTTTACTCATCCAAGCACCACCAAAGCCAAATTAATTGCAATTTTAACTAAGAATTTCGACATTTTTAACTACGAATTTCGACATTTCTAACTACGAATTTCGACAACTCAACTTGACAACTGCACAATGTAACCTACATGTTATTGCAATAATTTATACATAACCACAATTGGATTTATAACTAGCTTAGTTTGTTTTAATCAATGCGACCAACTTGACAACTATTTACCAACCAAAACCCTAAATTTGCAACGTTGCCGCAGTCCAGATAAAAAAAATGAACTTTAGTCCTAAAATTGATTTTTTAGTAAGTTAGTACGCTTTAGCAAAATCTAGTACTTTTTATAGTTAAATATATTTTCGCAACAAAATTGGTTTAAACCACAAATGTGTGGTTTAAACGGAATTAAAACCAAAATAATTTTTAATCATTTTGGCAACAATGCAAACAACTTACTGACCTATAAAAAATGTGGAATCACACTGGGTGTTCTGCAACCATTTTTTCACAGGCTTCTTTTTATGGGCTTTTTATATCTCACAGCCAGCGTTGCATTCAGGGGCGTAACTAGGCTGGGGCAGCCGGGGCACCGCCCCAGGGCCCCCAAAACGTAAAAAAATTAAATGTCTTACAGCAAAAAATAAAATCCTCAGGCAGCAGAAAAAATCCATTATATTATTCATAATCCTGATTTCTTAAAATAAAAAAGTATTCTATAGTTATTAGCCATTTTAGGCATGCGGACGGGACAAATCACAAAACTGTTTTTATAAAAAAAATTGTAGGTGATTTATTATATAATATAATTTTTTTGGCACCAAAATTGTCAAAAATATTCTTTTATTAAGCTATACATTAAATTAAACAAACGCAAAAAATATTTTATAAAAGTAGAGATAACTTAAATTATCTCTACTTTTATAAAATATTTCTTTTTTTTATTTAATGTATAGCTTAATAAAAGAAGAATGTTTTTTGACAATTTTAATGCCAAAATATTATATAAAAAATTATTTACAATTTTTTTTATAAAAACAGTTTTGTAATTCGTGCGTTTCACGTGCCTGAAAACAATTTTAGATGATGTCAACCCATGAAGTTTGAAAAATTACCTATTAATAATAATTATTACCTGTACACAATTTTATTCATTATTTTGTTAAAAAAAGATTAAAATAAAGAAAAAAAACATGTTTTTATGTTATTTTAAACAGTCTTTTTTTTCAATTTTATCCATGGGCCCCAATTCACGTCCTTGCCCCGGGGCCCCCACATGCCTATAGGCATAGTTACGCCCCTGGTTGCATTCTGCTACTTGCAGTTTTTTAGAAGTTCTCGAGCAGGACTGCCAACATAAATGCCTTTATCTGCCACTATCCTTTTTCTATGACCAGTGGTCATTGACCACTACCAGCAGACCATCTATGGCAGACCCTTGTCTCTGATCTGTGGTCTGTGAGTCACAGACTGTGACTATAGCATTTGTTATCTATGGACTATAGACACGGAGTTCGGTTTTGTTGTGCGGATTGTTTAATGAAAAGTATGTATACCAAGTTGCAAAAAATTAAGGGTCCGGCTGGGCTAAAATTTTCGAAATTCTGTGTACCCTCAAAAATCACCCTGTAGATTAGAATTTTATTTTTTTTTTGTTCCTCATAAATAAGTATTAAATTAGCTACAAAAAAATGTACAACTCATCTTTCGACAGCAACAAAATTTTAAGTGTGAAAAAACAAGTTTAAACAAAAAAAGAGTGCTAGGTGTAGAGATGATCTGTTTTTGTAACTTTACCTACTGCAGAATAAAAATTTCTTACTTTTAATTTATCTAGGTTCATATCTAATTAAATTCTTATTTTTCTATTTTACAGAAAATACGAATCCAAAAAGTACATGGCCGTACTTTTCAAGTAAAAAATAAATCAATTTTCAAACATAGTTTAATAGGAACTTACAATATTTATTAATTTTTTAAATAACGGCTAACAAAAAATAACAACACAAAACAACAACTTTTAAAAAATAGGCATTTTTCATTTAAAAACTAAATCAAAACAAAAAAACTTATAACAATTGCTCAAAATTACCGCCGTTTTGTTCGATACATTTTCTTGCTCTTAAGAATTAACACGTTCACTGCCGACGTAATAGTCCGCCCATGTTGCAGTGCCGATGGCTTTTTTTAGAAATTTTAAATAAAAATGGACTAAAACTTGTTTCTTTCGTTTCATATTGAAAGGTTCTATATGAAAAAATACTAAACAAAAAACAAATAAACAAACTCGGTAGACGCGTTGGCGGCACCCAGCGACAAAAACCATGCTTTATGCCACCGTACAGAACGCGGGTCCCGCGTGCTCGGCATATTGTAAAATACACAAGAACGCGGTAGCCGCGTTGCCGGCAGTTAAAGTGTTAAGCAATTTGATTCACCGATTTTCGAAGAAACTCTGGATTATTTTTTAGATTTTCGAAAGAATTTTCTATTCTGTTAATAAGTTGTTCTCTATCCATGATATCTACGCAATACACATGTGATTTTAAATATCCCCAAACATGATAATCCACAGGGTTGAAATCAGGCGATCGTGGAGGCCACTTATTAGGACCACCCCTGCCTATCCACTTATTTGGAAAATTGTCATTTAAGAAATTAGTGACAGTTCGCCTGAAATGGGGAGGTGCCCCATCATGCTGGAAGTACAGCTACGGAAAAAAGTAATGTCCATTTGAATGCTCCATTGTAATTGTTCGGAGGCATTCGGAAATAGTCAACATCTGCGGCAGATGATCTGCCTCTTAGGATTTATTTAAAAACATGACTATATTTAAAATTTACTACCTGCTCGTATTGAATTAATTATTTTTGGTGTATTACATATTTAACTGTATTTTTAGTAAATCGTTATTTTTTGATATATTGTTGTATACCTAGTTTTATAAACATTTATTCTATGAAAAAACTTTTAATAAGAATTTTTTAGGCTATAAATAATATTATCAAGTTGTAGTTTTTTTAAATTTACTTTACATTTTGTGTTAAAATTTAAAACTAAATATACTAGGATTTAAAAATGTACCTACATTCCCGCATCAAACAGTAGTATTGGCAAAATGTTATGAACAAAGTCTAAATAAATAAATTAGGGTAATTGTACGTAATTTGGGAGGAAGCGCTTTGACAATCTAGCAAAAGTTTCAGCCATCTATGGTTTCAGCCACAATCCACATGGATTGTGGTTTCAGCGACATACTGCGATTCCAGAACAAAAAATATCAAGAGCACTGTGCGTCTACCCATTTGCTTACGCCCTCTGGCGGAAAAAGGTGAGTTTTTGGAAAATAGATAGAAACCTTTACGCATGGAAGCTGTTTCGTAGGGCTTGTGTTCTGTGGTGTTTGACATCAATTTTAAAATGGCTGGTAGACAATAAGTTAGTGTAGTCAGGACTGTGAGGGCCGGAATTTTTAGGTGTGTCATAGTGAATACGAAATAACAATGTTAATATTTGTAAATAGCGAAGTAGTAACGATGTTTTCATTTGCGGATACTGTGTCGTCCGGCGACATTTAGTTAAATGCAATTGAAAGTTTTTAAGGGGTTAGAACCTTTTAAACTACATGGAATTGTACGTTGAGTTTATCGTGTGATAGTTTAAAGTTATTAGGCCGTCAAAATGTGGAATATGATGTGTGACGTGATGCCGACTATTTCGGAGGACAGCATTAGCCAGCGATCTTCGCAATTTTCTTCAGAGGATGCGAACTTTGAGCAACTTATGGTCCAAATGTTGGACGAAAGAGACAAACTAATGGACAGTCTTAGAGAAACGCAGGAAAGACTTGGTGAAACCGAAATCAAACTAACGGACGTCGAAAAAGAAAGAGACTCTCTTCAAAGACAAATCGCCGCCAATTTACCACAGGTAAACCGCATACAATTATAATTTGACATGTGTCACTTTTGACGTTTCCACAAACGTTTAACTGTTGTAGAAACATTTATGTTGACAGAAGATATTTTCTTAATTATTTCCAAAGTGTCTAGATTTATTCTTAAAGGTATTGTTTGTGCTCAGTGCATGTAATTTTCGATGAGGCCGCACCGGCGGCGAGTGTGTGCCTGCCGTCCTGGCGGCGGTTCGTGTTCGAATTAACGATCAGAGAGAGCGATGGGATCTATAACTCCGCCCTGTAACAGCACTACCGCCGCCTAACGCAGCCGTCGTATTTTTGTATCCTAGGTTACCTTTGTAAGCTATGCACGAAAATAATTTTTTAAATGGAAAATAGTTTTTGAAAAGGTACATTTTTTATACAGGGTGTCCGGAAAATGGCGGACCAACGGTTTACTGGGTTATAGGGGGTTATTTTAATTATAAAAAAACTAAAAACAAGTAGTTTTTAAGTTATCAAGTGGTAAAACTAAGGTAAAAAACTAATACCTACTAAGTTTAAAAAACTCAGCAACCCTGTGTATCTAAGCCAATTTAGAAAACATCTAAAAAACGGTTGTTATGGAAAACATGGTACAACTCAAAAACTATGCACAAAGCCTTTGCTTCATGTTAACATGCATGGAGTATATATGCTTTATTCGAGGGGTGGTTCACATGCCGAAAAATGTACACCTACCTCGAAGTACCTTATATATTTTAAAATACTTCTAGTACTCTGAGATACTTCTAGTACTCCAAGATACTTCTAGTACTCCGAGATTCTTCTAGTACTCCGAAATACTTCTGATACTTCGAAGGTACTTTTAATACTTCATGTACTTCGAAGTGCTTTGGGATTGCTACAAACGAGCTTCAAGTACTTTGTAATTGATAATATCGAACTTATAAGTATTTTGGAGTACTAGAAGTATCTCGGAGTACTAGAAGTATCTCAGAGTACTAGAAGTATTTTAAAATATATAAGGTTAACGTTTCCAACCATACATTCAAACTAATTTAAACATTTATAAGTTCCTAGTAAACATTTCTAACATAAAATCAAAAATATGGCCGAAATATTTCTAGTCCCGTTGACAAATTTTTTAATGTGTTTTAACGTTTCCAACCATACATTCAAACTGCTTTAAACATTTCTAAGTTCCAAGTAAACATGTGGATTTTTTGTAATTTTTCTCCTTTATAATACCTACATTAGTTATAAAAGTAAAATCAAAATCTTCAATGCATTTTTAAGGTCAAAATATCAAAAATACGACCAAAATACACAAAACCCACTTTTAAACTATGATGAGAATTGTATTGCTAAAAACGTTATAACAACATTTCCAAAACCCACATTTAGCTACATAAAAGTATTCGTCGACAAATTTTTTAATGTGTATTTGTTTTTTAATTTTTATCCTTTATAATACATTAGTTGGGTACATATAAAAGTAAAATAAAACTGTGCAATAAATGTATGAAGGTCATAAAATCAAAAATACGGCCGGAATACACAAAACCCACTTTTAAACTACGTTGGAAAATTGTATTGCTAAAAACGTTGTAATAACGTGTTCAAAACCTTAAAAAACATAAATAAGTAAAGCCCAAAAATATATTTTAGAAAAAATAATCTTCTTTATCAATAGTTTCAATCAAATAAAATTTTACCAAGTATTGCAGTTTGGTGATATATTAGGAAAACAGGGGTTACACGGAATAAACGTGCAAAAATTTAAATTTACCGCTCTATCACGAAAAGTGTTTATTTAATTATTAAGGTTAGTGTTGTATGTTCTGTGGTGTTGACATCCCGCCAAATTTTGTGCAAATTCTGCCCAGTGTTTTTTGGGAAAATATAGTTGAACGATAAGGTAATTTTTATCCGAGAGAGATGGAAAAAACATAAAAGGCAAATACCTATATGTATGGCATAGGCACATTTATTTATAACACGTAAACTAAACAATTTGTTTCCCCAATTTTTTTTAACTGTTTTTTAAAAAGGTTGCTTTTTATAATCCATGCTATATCATGGATTTTTAGAGTTATAAGAAACGATGCCTAGAAAACATAAACATGTTCCAGGAACGGTGTATTAAAGAAATTATGACCCAGAAAATATTGAATACAACCCTGGCGGAGGTGATAAACAATCATTTATCCTTTGGGCAGGTTGCTACCTGCTTTGATGTTCCCAAAACCACTTTATACAGCAAATACAGAGGAAAGTATTCTGATGTATTTGGGAGGCCTTCTGCCTTAAGTGAAAAAAGCATATAACAAGTGTAATAATTACATCTGCGGAATATGGATAATCTTTTGCAAAACAAGATACAAAAGAGTGCAGTCATATCTAAACCACAAAGGAGTAATAATTAGTTGTTTTAAAGAAAACCTTCCTAGCAACGACTGGCTAAAATCTGACTCAAACTTTCTTCCAAACCGTGGCAAACTACCAACCAAACTGAGCAAAAGTTACTGTTTTAACGGACCCGTAAAGTTAGCAAGAGATAGATCAAGATGCAAAAAGATCAAGATGCAAAAAGTTTAGCTCAAAACAGCAACACAAAAAAATAATCAACTTTAAAATATTATGAGCAATATTTATAGACAAATAAAATTGATTTTAATGAAAGTGGCTGATGGCTCATTGGGCTTGACAACCGACAGACCCGAGTTCAAACCCCAGCTGGGTCAGAACTTTTTTTAAATTTAAATCTTTTAATTTGACTGTTTCATTCAGTAGCCACACAAAAAAAAATGTCGTGATCTGGGGATGCGACATATGCTTTCCTATGGATTTTGACGCGCTGAATCCGAACCAGATGTCAGAATTTATCCTTCAGGTCGTTTCAACCTAACCTCAAAAAACGTGAAAAAATTAGTATTTCCTGTTTCTGGGGATGAGGCATGTCGATTCTTATGTTTTTCGATGCATTGAATGTAAATAATCTCTCAGATTCGATCTCACACGTTGTTCTTTTGACTCTAACCTCGAAAAAATGTAATAATACACAAATCCCACGAATTTCCAACGTTGTATAATACATAAATCCGACATATTTCCAACGTTGTATAATACGTAAATCCCACGTTTTTTAAAACATAAGAAACTAACGTTGTCATATAACGTTATAAACCAGGACATTTCAAGATAAAATTATACAAAAAAGTTAGGTTTTCCTAAGGAAAAACGTAAAATTTCTACTAGGGATTCGTAAACGTAAACACAAAATCATGCGGAATCTCCCGATGTACTTCGAGTACTTCGAAGGTACTTCTAGTACTTCGGATGAACTTTTAGTACTTCGGAGGTACTTTAAATACTTCGGAAGTACTTCGAATACTTCGGCTGTACTTCGACAAAAATGTACACCTACTTCGAAGAGTGAACCACCCCTCGGCTTTATTTTAACATGGTTGACAAATCTGGGTATTTTTTTTAATCTGGACTGCGGCAACGTTGCAGATTTAGGGTTTTGGTTGGTAAATACAGAACCAAAATTGGTTGCATTGATTAAAACAAACTAAACTAGTTATAAATGTAATTATAATGTAATTGCAGTTATGTTTAAATAATTGTAGGTTATTGAACAGTTGTCAAGTTGAGTTGTCAAAATTCGTATTTAAAATAGTAGATTATGTCATAAGGAGTAGAAGTGGCTCTTTTTGTGGTGAGTACAGAGATTGACGGCCGAAGCGTAGCTGAGGCAGGCAACTGTAGGAAGCACAAAAAGAGCTTCTACTCCAAATAACATACACAATTTTTTTTTCAAGGGCGTAATATAAATAGGATAAGCAATATAATTATTTTATTTACTTATAACTCATGTGGTATAAAATTTTGGCTAAAAGCATTACAAATTATTGATAAAAAGTAAAAAAACTTATAACCCTTACTTACAATGCCGATAAATATCCTAAACCATAGATAACAAAGCCTAAACCAAAAATAAACACTGCTCTGTCAAAATGCTGCGCTTGAATTAATTTTGACGTAGTGACATTTGTTTGGAGTTCCGACATTGGCGACTCGTCTATCATCATTATATTATACTAATAAACTAGTTGTTCTTTATTTCGTTCAATTAAAATTTAATAAATAATCACTAAATATTCCGTGCGATTATAATTAATATAATTAATACATCGTGATTGCTTTGTATGAAATGCTAAATTAATTTTATTATTTGACGTCTATTGAGTCACCTATGGATTTACTTCTATCCCTAGGCTTTTTTGAGTTTTTTGTCTGCCGCTAATGAAAAAGACGTACTTCAACTATCTCTATACATGCATATAACGTTGTATATCATGGCCGCTTGAAAAAAAATTAAAATAATTTGGCTTTGTTGGTGCGTAGATGAGTAAAATCATATAAAAAAAGTAGTTAAATATAGGTGACTACGGCCCAGGAGAGACAAAGTATTCCTAGCGGATAATAATCTTCGCCTTGAAAAGAATTTACCTACTTAGGTATATAAAAGAAATTAATATTTTATGTGAACACAAGTGAATGTTGTCCAATCATTGGACTCCAAGGGTGAATGAGTATTTAATGTGGAATTTAATATGTGTAAAACCAAAAACGTTACTTCTTTACTCCAAAAATGTCCATAAGGCTACTTCTTCTGCCATTAAGGCATTTGGCATAAGAGCCATTCCACGCGTAACGGATACGACAGTTGCCGTGTTTTTATTTACAAAATAATATTGTTCTATTATATTACCAATGTGAAATTTTTATAAATAGTTCTAAACTAAAGCTGTTTAACAAGGTTTTTATTTGGCAAAATTAGGTATCGTGATTGACTGTTTAATTCCTTAAAAATTAATAATTTAAAGCGTAACGGACGGGACTATTACGAAGTCCCGTCCGTTACGCTTTAAATTATTAGTTTTTAAGGAATTAAACAGTCAACCACGATACCTAATTTTGCCAAATAAAAACCTTGTTAAACAGCTTTAATTTAGAACTATTT